ATCATGGGTCACCTACTATTGCCCTGCTCGGTTCACAACACGTTGACATGCAAGGCTGCACGTTCGCCGCAAGAGAGTCGTTGGGTGCATCGGGATGCCAAATGCGGCCGCCTGATCGATCCGGCTCGTTCGGAATGCCGTGCCTCCGCAGGCACCTACACCACCAAATGGGACACGATCTATGGCGATCGCTGAAGGGACGACGGAACGGTATCTGAGCAACGCTGGCGAGGTGATCATTAAGATCCGTCGGCCCAGTGAAGATGGGACCGCGGCGAACAACGTCTATTTTCGGCCGGATGGCACGCAAGCGCCTTCCGACGGCGATTATCCGATCGCCAATGATGCCTATTCCTTCTATCTCTACGAGGATGGCAGCCTGGAGTCGTATCGACATCTTGGCGAGGACGGCAGCTATGTCGAATTGAAATTTGCCCCGCCGGGGCCCGGCGCGTCGACGCTCTACGGGCCGAATAGCGAATACACGCGGGGCAGTCTAACCTATTCGGAAACGCTGGCTCATGAAACGGTCAGCGGCATCGACGTACTGGTCCATAAAATCCAGTCCTATGTAGGCGGCCAGTTAACGCAATATGTCTTCGCCTACGGCCAGCCGAACACCAGCAGCGTGGTGCTGACGGGCGAATATGACGCCACGACCGGAAATTCTACCATTTCTCTGACCAATCATACACTGGCCACGCCGATCACCATGACCGGTCCCGGCTCGATCAACAGCCTGAACGGGCTGACCCCCTCCCTGATCGGCAACGACGGTTCGACGCTGATCGGTAATGACGGTTCGACCTTGATTGGCAACGACGGGTCAACCCTGATCGGAAACGATGGATCGACTCTGAACCAGAGCAATGTCAATGCGCTGATCGGCAATGACGGCTCGACCTTGATTGGCAATGACGGCTCCACTCTGATCGGCATGGACGGCGGCACGCTGATCGGCAACGACGGTAGCACCTTCACCCTACACACGCTGGCTGGCTTTCGCGGCTATTCCCTTTATTCGACGCCGCAGGATTTTGGCGG